TCCACGCTGCTCGTCCACGCTGCTCGTCCACGCTGCGCCACCCCTCCGAGCGCCTCGGGGAACACGGTGTCTGCCAAGTTGCCCTAACTTGGCAGACACCTTGTTCCCCGAGCCCCACTCGCCGCTGCTGAACATGGACTTCTTCTTCGGCTCTCTCTGTGAAAACACAAAACACAACATGTGTCAACACTCACTCTGCACATCCCTCCCGTGTGCTTCTTCCTCCTCCTCCACCAATACCTACCTCTAAGTGCTGAAGGCGTCCTCGGCCACATGTGAGGATGTGACGATCAATGTCGCCCGTGTCCCCACCGCTGTAAGCCTCCATCACGTCTTCCCCCCAACACGTGCAGCTGCTCATACTGCTTGATAGCCACCAACACCATGCCTGCGGACACAAGAACAACTATTACAACAGCATCAACTTTACTACACACATTTCTATCTCCTCCCATACACCCTTTAAACTCCACTACCTCCTACAACTCCCAACCTCTACAGACAACCTCCACAAACCTTTTTCTCCCGTACAAACACCACAACCACTTTCACTGCCACCACATTACAACGGACCTACAACTAATACCTCCTTCCTCACTTTCAGCACAACACATGACAACTTCACAAAACTTTCACAAGCAATCACGCCTTCCACTCTTTAGCTACTTGCCTCATAACTACCTCACTACGCCAACAGAACCCTCTCTGAAACCACACACACTCTCAACTCCACTTCTAACTACTACTTCCACCACCTACATCCTCCACTTCAAACGACACAACTACACATCTCCACTACAACTAACACACATTTCTTCTAAACACACAGCTGCACCTACCAACCCCACCTTCAACACCACTTCACTACATCCACCCAAAGGGCCCTACTTCTTCTGACACAACAGCCTCCCTGAAAACACACTCCCATTTCACTCACTCACAACCTAGACAAACTACACATTCCACCAACGCCACAAACGCTCCACCCCTACATTACACATCCTCCAGCCACACAACAAGGGGCCATGTACTTCTACATAACCTCCATGTTTCTATTACAACACACTAACCACATTAAGCCAACAACAACACTTTGCTCACAACCCTCTCTGACACAACTCCTCACTCTACTTACCTACCTCACATGCTTATCACCTCAAACACAGCCCAATACACACTTTCTATCTTCACTTTCTCCACCACTACCACATCTCCACAACAGCAGCCACACTCACAACACAACCTCTAGCACCACTAAACACACCACTCCATTGTCCACCACATTCACATTCACAGCTACACATTCCTTCTACTCCCTTTCCTACTGCCTCCCAAACAACATGCTACCAGCTACCCTCGGTAGCCTAGCTCTTCAGTCCTTCCAAAAACACATCAGTCCTTCCATTCCATACTTTCCTTATTTCCTCTACTTAAAACCATTAACTGACCTCTACTTTCCCATTCCTCAACACAACACTCTCCCACTTCAGCTGCTACCACCCCAACAGCCATGTCAATCCTCACACATGACGTTCACTTACTACACACTCCTTCTGCTCTTACCACCGTTCCCTAAAAACCACACTACAACCAACTAGCATATGCATCACCACAAGGACTCCTGTCACACACCTTCAGTTGCTCACTACTACCTTTTTCAACTCTAACACAACACTGACCCAAACATTCCACTTCTTCTACCAACGCCCTCTCTGAAAACACAACACCTTTACTCCACTATCGCTTACTACTGACCTTTCCTGTTATACAACACCACACACACACTTGTCCTCTCTTTACCTGCTTCTACTACATAACATACATATCAAGATCCACAGTGACACTGGACAAAGCTAACATTTACCAAATGCCCAAATACCTTCCAGTCCTGAGCTACTGCCTCATAAACACCACTACAACTACAACCAACTCTCACACTAGCCAAAACCCACGCACTCATACCACATACTTTCCTTACCTCTCAATAACACAACAACGGTCCCTCCTAATCCCCTCCCAGCACTCACCGCAGTACATGTTGATGGTGTTGTAGTCCAGGAATCGCACTCTGAGGTTGTGCAGGACAGCGGTCTCGTGCAGAAAGCTGAGAGACGTGAGGTCGTTCTCTCCCTCCAGGATGTCACAGTTCCCCAAAGGTGGGAGGTCAGCCGGGGAAGCCACTGGTTAGTCCACCACCTGTTAGCGGAAACATCGGACGCACTTCACTGAAAACACTCACATCCAACGACCGGCATTTACTTCCCGTGTGCATGTGCATTACCTTTCCATCACACAGCTTAAGCTGCAGGTGCTTCACTGCAGGACTGTAATCGTGGACGACTTAGCCTGACACCCACACCGACTCCAGGTCCGGATTCCAAACCCTCACACCCTGAAAAACACACACCCACACACACCCACACCAGTACAGAAAACAGTAACACTGCTATTACTTTGAACACACCTGTACTTCCTCGCATCATAACATCTCATCCTTGCTGCTGCCCTCACCCACCTGTGCTATACGCTCTCCATGTCTTCACTCCCGTTGCCCTCCTCATTCAGCTTCTCCCCTTCGTTGGCAGCCTCCTCCACGTGAGCCAGCATGTCAGCCATCAGCGCCTCCTCCAGCCTTTTCCTCACACTGTACACCAGCTCCTACTGTTTCCTATGCATCGACACAACAGGAAGCCGTTACAGTCAGCAGTTACCCTCGCCACTAACGGCCAGCATCTCAGCTCTGAACACATGGTGGCGTTATTTTTTACAGGTTCACTTGTCGGTCAAACTTATACAACTACTCTGACATATTTCTCATGGACTGTCTGCTCGCCTACCTGATGAGGTCACTACTACTTTCTTCACCTTTCCGTAACACATTCGACTACAACACCTACACCACGGTACAACTTCTTCTGACACATCGGCCAACGCCCTCCCTGAAAACACCTAACACCTTTACTCCACTATCGCTTACAACTCACTTACAACTCTGACCTCGACGGAGATCAAACACCCGGAAACTACCCACCAGGACAGTAGAACTGACAAAGCCTCTTGAATGAGAGGAGAAACGTCTTCTTCGACAACATTTAATCTCCAGTTGCCTAACAAAACTCTTCAACCATAACCTGGATGGCTGAGAATCTTCATAGACATACTAAATTAAGATTTTGCCTTTAATTTAATGAACAATTTGCTGAGAAGATCAAATTTAAAAACAATTACATTCAAGAAAATTCATCTTTTTTTTAACATCTGATAAAATATTTGATGCTGAATTATGATTTAGCTGAAATTTTGTACAATTACTATGACCTGTAATACATATGTATATACATACACATACATATGCACACACACAAACACACACACACACACACACACACACACACACACACACACACATATATATATATACACTTTAAACTGACGCTGCAAAACTGCAGATCCAAAACCATCAAGGGCGACTAGAAGGAGTACGTTTTTTTTTTTTTTTTTTTTTTTTTGACGTTTCCCCTCTCATCCAAGAGGCTTCTTCAGTTCTGACAGACTACTCAGGTGAACTATTATTCAACTTGACTGTGCTATCTAGGGCAGGAATTTGAGACTTACTTATTACTTGTAAAGCAACATCTTGATCCCATCTCTGATCCAACTGGTTCCTGGCTTCTTGACACTCTGAAGCCCCAGTGGTGGTTTTACAGTATAAAGAGTCTCCATGCAGGCCAGGTCTGATGAAATGCAAGACAGTGTGATTTCATACAATTTAATAAACAGTGTTTGTAAAACCATTCAATACAGCAGGTATGGATATTTATTTAGATTTATTTACAAATACCCCTATTATATTGCTACATATTTACAATACATTATACAAAAATATGACAAACTAATGTTTACTTTTCTACTGTGTGCCTAACACGCAAAAAATATATCTGAAATCGTACAAATATCACAAAAAACAAGCAAAGCTACAGTCTTACTATCACAAAAACTGCAAACAAATAAAAGTGTCAGAAATGGCAGCATGTTTTAGGAC